TTAGCTTTAGTTAAGCAAACAGCACAAAAGTATGCTTTAGAATTTTCGTATATTCTATATAGACAGATATATTATAGATAGCTGTCTAGACAGCTATTGGAAATTCATCATATTGAATACTATGAAAATATATTTATTATTTACTCTACAAGCACCTCATCAATTTTCCAGCTTCTAGCCGAAAACCTTATCAAGTTTCGACTTTTGAACAAACATTTGAAATGCTTCCAGCAGTGTTGATAAGCAGTGTTGTTAAATCAATTATTAAATATTAGTCTAACCTAAAAAGCTTATCAAGTGCGTGTGCATATATATATATATACATATGATAGACTATATACATATGCATATATATATATTAAAAAAGTGATATTGAAGCCCAGAGTGGCGCCTCGACTTTGTTTAGCTTGGATTGTTCTATGTTTTTGTTTGTTTCGCAAGATTATTCTACTATTATTATTTACGCGCAATGTTCACGAGATTAGCATATGAAATTGGAACGTGTGAGTTGCGGGCTCTGTGTGTGTGTATGTATGTATGTATATAAGAAAGATTGTGATAATCGTGCCTCGAACAGTGTCTATACATAACATAATTATCATTGTCTGTGCCAGAGCCTGCTGTCTCCGCTTATCAGTATATATACTACTCTCTAATGATAGTCCACCATGGACTGCCTTAGCTGACCAAAAAAGAAAAGTGAAGGCAAAATATATAAAAACTCTTAATGCGCAAAAAAGATGACGTCATGAACAGCTTCGCCTTGCTGATTGATAAGTGTAAAAAATTTAAACAAAATAAACAATATATATATGTATATATATACAGTATAAGTACATTAAGTGTATACAAATTCGCGAATAAAGAAAGCATTGTTTAAGGAAACCAACGCCAGACACTTCCGCCCACTTGAAGGGCGTGTGTATTTGCATTATTGTTTTTGCTGTTCCTGAATTTGTAAAACAGGAAAAATGCCATATATCATATATTTCTTGTCAGCTGTAAATAAATTACCCAATAAAAGAAAAGAATAATAAATGAGCGAATATTTGTAGATAGCAAGTGACATTAAAAAATATTTTTGCAGAAGTATTTAAAACTGAACGAAACAGACGTACGAAATTTCTTCACAGCTCATTACTCATGCAAAGAAATTCTTTTCGATTGGGAATGACTGAGGGATTAAAGACTTTAGATAGAGTCTGTTGATAGATATGATAAGAGTTTAGAGAGCTAATTTACAAATTGAAAGCAAATGGGCTGATGGAAATTTATCAGGAATTTTATAAGCATATAGATTGATAGTTATAAATAGAAATAATTCCAGAGTTTTCTGCGAAAAAGCTTTGCGATTGACTTCTTTATAGTAAATATATCTCTATTTTACTATATATGCATCTATACTCTTATCTATCTGGCAAAATGTATAATATATATGCTAACTTTACTACTTTCTTATCTACTTATACTATAGCTTTACGCAGACTTTCTATAATATACTATATAGTTTGTATATATCTTATCTGCAAATACTACAAGCAGTTCCTATCGGAAGTTAAGAACTGCCAACAAAATTTAATATTGTTTTTAGAAATTAGATATAAATATTTGGGCAAAGAAATTCCTTTATAATAATAATTAAATAGTTGACTAAATTGGTGGATTTATCAGGCTTTAAAAACAATTTGCCGGAAATTTAAAATATATATTTTATAATCTCCTAGAAATGGAATTTTATGGTATTTTTAGAAGCGTATATAATCGACATTTCATATCTATAATAGAATGTAAATATTGTTAGATAGTCCTAATATATGCATTTTTAGGAGCTGTTTCTTTCGAACTACCTCAACTTGTTTTTGTTTTAATTTATTCTACCTAAGAATTTCTATAAAAATTCTGATTTTATCACTTGAAGTTAATATGAATTTAATTTGAAAAATGCTCCTCAATCTGGTCTATAACACATATATTATATAACCCATACTCTATACATATAAATTATATATTGCCTTTCAAAAGCATTTTATAGCACTTGAATACTTCAAATTATCTAATCAGAATACCCTATCTGAAAAGCTCTTTAAATATCTTTGCCTGCTCCTTTACCGACTTTCATATTTATATATTGAAATTTAATTGTGTGTATATCTCTTCTTTTTTTTGCACACATATCATTTCTATTTTTAAAGCTATTTTTAAAGCACCTGAAACGCCTATCCAACGTAAAATAATATCACATCACTTAACTCAAAGTCTCCAACAAAAAATCATGCATAATTCGATGACTTTCACTTTCGTTTTGATCGAATATATATAATTATAATAATTTATAATAAAATGTAATGAATTGAACAAAATATTGTTTTCGCCATATCATGGACACAACAAAAATGTACTTGAAGTGATTATGCTGTTTGTGTGTGTGAGGGTGTCTGTGTGTTTGTGTGGGTGTATGTTCGTGTGCTTTATGATGTTGATTATTATTATTATTATATTTTTGCTTTGGCAAACAATTTATGGCATTTATTCGAGCCGCCGTCGCTCACACACACACACACACACACACACACACACACACATTTAAGCAGAGGTCTGCCATTTTGTAAACAACAAAATTCGCTGATAAGCCCAGCACTCATAAAAAAATAAAGCAAAAGCCAAGCGAAAAAATAAATTGCTTTAAAAAAAATTGTTTTTTTACATTGTTTTTTTTTTTTTTTTACCAAGGTCAAAAGTAATCGCAGCAATAATAATAATAAGAAGAATAAGTAGTCGCAGAAGCAGCAATCGCTGTCGTAGCACGCATAAATCCTGTTTCATTTTCTTCTTTCTCTTCTTTTAAAGAAAAGTGAAACATAAATGGAAAACTTACTTTCACATGTGCAAGACAGAAGAAACTTCTCGGGCAAATAGAAAGGCGATAACAGAATCGGCTTTGGGCTTTTTATCTCACTTTGCTGCGCTCTGCGTTTGATTGGCCCGAAAGAAAGTGCAGACGGCAATTGAATTGACCCAATTGTCCAACAATGGTCAACGACAGCGTCGGCTTCTGTTTCTGCTTCTGCTTCGACTTCAACGACAATCGACTCTGGAGAGTTATAGATTTGATTTCAAAAGGAAAAGTTGATTGACTGTCGCAGCACAACTGCTGCAATCAACTTTAGCTTTGGCTATAGCTGCATGCAACATGTGGGTAGAACCAAATGTGTGCCAAGCCAAATTTAGTCAGATCCGTTATAAATGAGGCAAATGAGGCAGTTAGAAGGCCACAAATCAATGCTAAATTTATGATTGATTGCTTGATCAGCTGACGACAATAGAAATCGCTGAAAGACTTTGAAAGTTCTTTGCATTAAACTAAAGAAAGATAGCGGTCAATAATAACGTTAACTTGAGATTGAACTTGAATGACTGATTGATTGATGGAAAATGAATGAATGAATTGTGTCCTATATATCCAAGAGCTAGAAAGCTGAAGATAATTATGTTATGAAACTAAATTGCAATTAAAGATTCATTTAAGATTCATTTCAAGTCTAAACATTTTATTTTGATATAAGTAAAACTAAAAAGTAAAATGAGCTGGTTTGATTGATTTGTTGATTTGACGTGAACACAATTTGTGATTGAATAATGATTGATGACCAACATCATCACATCTAACTAACAACATCCAGACATTGTAGTTTGTCTTGTAAATAAACAATTAGACGAGCAGAGAAGAGAAGAACTCAAACAACAATTGTTTACGGAACTAAGATGTTTGACCTAATACTGCATCAGAGTTTATAAAAATAGAGTCTTATGGCTTTCCTAAAGCTGTGAAACTAAGAACTGAATATGAATATGACAGCTACATTAATAAACATTTTAATAAATTGATTTATCATCCACTATGCTTAATTTTAATTGAAATCAAAATTGAGATGTTTTCAATGGCCTAATTGGCACTCATAAAGTGAAGTTGCGAAAATTCGAGAATATCATAAAAATTCCACCAACACCTATTGATAGCATGAATATGAATGAATTTGTTGCGTATCGATAGCAGAAATTTAAATGGAATTCACAATATGCTGAAGCCCTGAGTCTGATATAACATATAACAATGCATGGCAACATATAGCATAATCCTATTATAAAAGTAAACTCAATTTAGTTACATAATATCTTATGTAGCAATGTGACATAAAAAGCTCTTGTTTAACAGCTCAACTAGTGCAGTTGCCAAGGGATCAAATGGAAGAGCGACTAAGAATAACAGCTAAACAATCAAGGCTATATATAAATCATATTTACAGTAACATGTTTTGCGTGGGAGTGCAGGAAATTCAGCTCAATCAAAAGCCGCCCACAACAGCTGCTGGCCCGCAGTTCAATTGTTGCCTGGGATACATATTTTAACAAAGAGTTTGCAAACAGAAAAAAAAGAAGAAAAATACATAATAATCAATTGTTATCTTCTGCTTCTTCTTCTTCTTTTTTTACTTTATTTTTGCTTTGAGCTGCTGTTTTAATTGGGTCTAAAAATAGCTGCGTACTTGTCCATTGATATGTACACAAGAAATATACAAGAGCGCGTCGCATCCAATTCAATTGAACTAAATTTGCAGACAATGAGAAGCGCAGAGTAGAGCGATTGAGCGTGTGCGTGAGGTCTTTGGCCACCACACTCGAGTGTTGTACAATCGTTTTGTTGTTGGCGTTTGGAGTGTTTGCTTTGCTGATAAGTGCGCCCAAAATGTATAATTTTATGGATTATCGATCAGCTTGAGAGCTGATCTGAAATCTTGAATTTTGTTTCAGAATAACAATAATTTTGATGTCACTTTTCACGGTCCCCTCAACCGAAAACTTTGATAAGCGACATCAAAACAACCTGAAAGATTGCGTGTGCTTATCAATCGGGACAATAACATTGCCTACTTAAACAAATTATGATTGAAGACAAGGATTTTCGACTCTATAAATAGAACCGACGCACGTATACCACTTACCATAGCCTGTTCGATTTTGTTGTCAATCGCAACTGCGCTTGTTCCAGATGCACTGCAAAAAATTACAGATAAAGTTGGATTATTAAAAAATTAAATAGATGAGTTAAAATACAAAATTTTGTTAGTAATGTAAATAATATAAATATGTTATAAATAATATAATATGTTATAACAACCCTGTATAACACAGTCAAACTGTTATATAGATATTATCGCCTTGAAAGTTGCTATACCCATTGACCGAATATTTATTTTTATGGCTACCCTTGCAATTTATTTTTATAATATTTAATTTGCTCTTTTATCTTAAAATCAAACGTCAACAATTAAAAACAAATCACGTGATTTGGGATGCGATTTTTTTTTTATATATATCAGAAATGTCAGTTCAATCCGCAAGCTAAATAATTATGGCATATTTCATATGGCCTTGTGCGTATTGAGGTCAATATAAAAGACAATAAAACTTCCTGAAATGACTTTTGGCCCAGTCGGAAAAATAAAAGCGCCGCCATGCCAAAGCGCAATGTCAAATACTCAATTAAATTGTCAGTTTTTCGCAAAAATAATAAAAATAAAATAAAAGTATGCCAAAATGAATTTGTGAATGATAAAACTGAGATCCATCAAATAGATCGCCCCATCAAATGTTACCACACAAAAGACTCTTTAATGCGTTTGGCTCATTAAAATGATTAAATGAATGTACTCTATTCGAAGTCCCCGCCAATGCCCCCTTAACGGTCTGTCAATTCCAATTGCAAATGGTTTAACATGTCAGTGGAGCAGCTGGAAATAAATACATATAAGTATATATTTCCTTAATTATTGAGTGACCAAACAAATTGCATATGAAAGCATTGTCCGAGTCGGCTTTTAATTATGCAACACTGGCAAAAAAAAAAAAAAAAAAAAAAAAAAAAAAAAAAAAAAAAAAAAAAAAAAAAAAAAAGAAACAACTAGAAAACCAGAAATAACCAACTCTGCAATTTGTATACGAGTTACATAAAAGCTAAAACTCGAATTCGATTTGAATGATTAAAAGAGGGGGATTTAAAGAGAGAGAAAGAGAGAGAGACATATAGAGACAGAATTCAAATCTAACTTAACAGTTTCTAACTTAAACGTTCTCAGCACTCGCTCAGATTCGTGTTCACCTTGAGCAAATGTTTTGGGCCAACTGGTTTTTCACACAGCTCCATACCGAAATGAAACAATCAATTTAAGCCAACAAATCTCAAGGACTTTTAGCAATTGGCGAACGCGTTAATAATAAAATATTCTTAATTTGAATTTACTTAACATATTTAGCATTGAGTGCGTTGAACCAATGCAGGCGAGTCATATGGGTTATAGATCAGGGTCTGGCTGGGAATAATGATAGAGCGAGCTTTAGAATTCGCAAGCAATTGATAATAAAATTGTATACATTTAGACGAGGGTTAATTGAAAAATTGCCGAACTAATGGTTACTTTGATTTTGTTTTTGATATCATGATACATATATTATTCTGTCTTCATATCTGCCTTTTTCTAAATTCAATAATTTTAGAAACCCACCTCGGTAGAGCTAAACGTCTTAACGCTAAACGTATTGCGCTCTTTCACACATCATCGTCACTTATCGAAATTGGCAATAGTTAAATGTGTCATCAAAAAGATGGCTCCATTCGATATGAGGGTAGAAAATCGACAATGAGTCAAAATCTATTATTGGAAAATTCTCGCTTGCATGGCAACTTTTTGCAACTATTTTTGTTTTTGTTTTTTGTGCCCTTTGTAGCAAGTCAAAGGTAAACTCACATTCCACATTTGATGAAATAATTTGGTGTGGGCCTAATGAGTCAATGGAAAGCAATTTTATGAATGAGCTACTACTTTGGGGGAAACCCAAAAGGAATCCGATTGAACTTTGTTAAATTATTGGTAATGCCTGATTTTTAAGGTAAAATAGAGTGTGATGTAAATTGAGTTAATAATATAATAATAATTAATAATAATTACTGTTACTCAGGGTACAGTTTTTCTTTATACTGTGTTCATAATAAAAAATACATTTCCATTTATATAAATATACAAATATCATTTCTCTTATAGGCTTAAATTATTAACTGCATTTATAAAATGAAAATGCCCATAATTTTCGTCGACAATTCAAATTGACGTATTTAAATTCAATTTTCACAAATTTTCCGAACTTTGTGCATTGTTGTGAAATCAAAAAAATGCACAGGCTATGAAAATAACTTTAAAAATAACTTGATTACCCTTATTTATGTGCGCAGTCATTGAAGTGATATAATAAAGAAGGCGCCTTTATGCTGTTGAGGCATGCAAAATATTTAAAGACGGGTCGACAATAAAATGAGACCAGATTAATGATGTTTCCATATATATAGTATATATATTTCATTTCTTCATTTGTTTCTTGCCTGTTCTTAATGGCTTACTCAAGTCCGGCTGAGCCTCGGCTCGCCGCGGCTGAGTTCCACGACATCGACAAGGACGAGAGGCGAGAGTTTCTTCACCGTGCGGCGACTGCCCTTGTAGGACTCACTCACAGATGTGCCCAAGATTTCGCACAACAAACAGAACAACAACAATATAATCATAAGCGACAGGCGAGTAAAAGTAAAAGTCTCAGCCTGGACGACCCCTCACGTTGAGTGCACTGACTCACGCGCACGCCGTGACTTTTGTTCTCTTTCTTTCAGTAAGCGCCAATAAAATATATAAACACATACATGTGTATATGCACATATATATA